CTAAGGCACTTGACTGCTAACCAGAAAGCGTGGCGGTTCAAACCCACCAGCCACTCCCCAGAAGGAAGATGGGGCAATCTACTTCTGTAGTGATACTGCCTTGGAAACCCAAGGAGGGGTCGCTATGAGTCGGGTCTGATTCGAGGGCACATAACAACAACAACAACAACACACGATAAGCAAGAGAGATTTATCCTAAGAACTCAGATTGGCTCAACATCTGAGAAACAATCAAATAACCCTATTAATAGCATGTTGTTGTTGTTGTTGTCAGGTAGGTGCTGTCGAGTCAGCTCCTACACACAGCAGCCCTATGTGCAACAGAAGGAAACCCTGCCCCGTCCTGCACCATCCTCACAATCCTTGCTGTACCTGAGCCCATCATTGCAGCCACTGTGTCAATCCATCTTGTTGAGAGTCTTCCCCTTTTTCACTGAGTCTGTACTTTACCAAGCATGATATCCTTCTCCAGGCAGTGGTCTCTTCTGACAACATGACCAAAGTAGGTATTAATAGCATAAACAACAAAAATTACACAATCATCTCGATAGACATAAAAACTCCATTTGACAATAATTCCTTGCTCATATATAGTGCTCAGTAGATTTTTATTGAATGGATAAGATATGATTTTAATACTCCACAATGTTCTCTCTGTCTTTTAAGCAACTTGGTTGAAATTTCATTCTTCTTTATAACCACCACAGTACCCACTGAAACCCTAGCATATGTTGTTGTTAGGTGCCATCGAGTCATCTCTGACTCATAGCATCCCTATATTCAACAGAATGAAACATTGCCCAGTCCTGTGCCAGCTTTACAGTCCTTGCTACACCTGAACCCATCTAAACCTATACCAGCATAGATAGAGTCTGTTAGGGAAGTACAGCTATGAATTCAGGGGATAATTGTGTAGCGAAATAGCATGGAACTTCTTAATCTGATTTAAAAATCATTTTAGTAATACAGAATACAGTCTTTCTATATATGCATTTATTATACCAGGCATGTGGTGCAGCAAATTACTTAGTATGGCTCTTCTAGCCATGGTCTTTGTGACTGCCACCAGATGGCCACATGGGACTATGTAATGTGGGGTGTTTGTGGCCCCCCAAGGGGATTGAGTAGCTTACTTGTTGTTGTTGTGTGCCATGGAGTTGGACCTGACTCATAGTGACCCCTCCTTGGGTTTCTGAGGTGGTATTACTACAGAAGTAGATTGCCCAACCTTCCTTCCAAGGAGTGGCTGGTGGGTTTGAATTACCAGCCTTCTGTTTAGCAGTCAAGTGCCTTAGGCACTACGCTAACAGAGCTCCTGAATAGCTTACTAATAATAAGGTATATGGCATCCTTTTGGGGATGGGAACATGCAAATAAGGTATATGGAACCCTAATTTGGGGATTGGTCAGTTTTGTCATTCCACTGGACTTAAAATGAGCCATCCCAGAGATGGAAAGGGGAGAATCACATTATCATCATCAAAGAGCAGCTAGAGGGGAGAGAGGGGAAAATTGCTAGACAGGTTAAAAAAAAGAGAAGAGTCAGGAGTGGAGTGCATCCTTGGACCTGAGGTCCCTGCACTGAGATGGCAGAGAGATGGTGAGAGATGGCAGCAGCAGAACAAACAGAATCAAGCGACCCGTGTGAGACAGAGTGGTGGGTTTCCCAGTCCTGATGACTGGATGGGGCTATGCAGTATGAGGTGTTTGTAGCCCACCAAGGGGACTGAATCGCTTACTAATAATGTAAACAAAGTATATGGCACCCTTATGGGGGTAGGAACATGCAAATAAGGTGTATGGAACGCTTATTTGGGAATTGGTCAGGTATGCCATCCTGCAAGACTTAAAATGAGCCTTCCCAGAGACAGAAAGGGAGATCACACTATCATCAAGAAAGAAGGCCAGAGGGGAGGGGAGGCACAATTGTTAGACAGGTAAAATTAAAGAAAGAAAGAAGAGTGGAGTGTGAGTGTATCCTTGGACCCTCGATTCCTGTGCTGAGATGGCAGAAAGATGGTAAGAAATGGTAGAAGCTGACCAAACAGAACCAAGAGACCTGTGTGAGATGGAGTGGTGGGCTGCCTGGCCCATGGAGCAAGAAAGCTGTGTGCCTTTAATGCAGGAGTCTTGCTGGTGGAGTGGGGTGCCTCTCTGGACACCTATTCAGCAGAGCTAAAAGAGCTTTACTATTCTTTTTGCTGATGATAAATCAAAAAATGGTTGCCACAGTACACTGAACAGGAAATTCCTGAAATGTAGGCTGGATTCAAAAGAGGATGTGGAACGAGGGATATTGTGGCTTATGTCAGATGGATCTTGGCTGAAAGCAAAGAATACCCATTAGACTTAAAATGAGGCATCTCAGAGGTGGAAGGGGTATCTCACTACTATCAAGACCAAAGAACTAGGATGGAGCATATCCTTGGATCAGAGATTCACAGGCTGAGATGGCAGAAAGAGATGGCAGCAGTATCAAGAGACTGGCCTGAGGCAGAGTGGTAGGCTTCCTTGCTCATAAGCAAGAAAGCTGAGTCCTGTCAGGCAGGAGGCTTACTGGCAGAGTGGAGTGCCTCTGTGGGCACCTATTTGGCAAAACTAAAGGACCTGCATAACACTGGCACAAGCAAAGCAGAGGCTGAGCCCAGACAGAAGTGTGCCTACAGCACAGCTGAGAAGTTGTCCTGATTGAAGAATTGTATCCTGAGTTGTTTCTGATCCTGAATTATAACCTGTTATGTCTCTGATAAGCCCCATAATAGGAATTACTGTGTGTGAATTCAGTGTGGCCCCTGCAACAAATCCTTGAACCCAGCAGAGAAGTAGTGCTGTGGGAGGGACTGTTGGTGTCAGAATTGGTATAAGGCTTAAAAGACGGTAGCATGTCTGACCTGTGCCTCATAAGAATCAGCATCAGGAACGATGCTGTTGATAATGATTCTGTCTCCCCCTTGTGAAGTTGCAGGAGGTCAGATACCGCTGCCCCCATGCCCTTTTTGCACCTTTCTCCTTAATGCTCACTGTGTGTCCTGCCTATGCCTGAACTTAGATACAGAAGAACGAATTGCAGATCAGTCTGATGCCAAGTGATAGATTACACTTTAAAAGTTTTATGAAACATTTCTGGCAGGATATATGTACATTTAGTAATAAGTAGGCTCGTGGTTCAAACCCACCAGCCACTCCTCAGAAGGAAGGTTGGGCAATCTACTTCCATAATGATACTGCCTCGGCAACCCAAGGAGGGGTCGCTATGAGTTGGGGCCGACTTGACGGCACATAACAACAAAACAACATATATTGATTTGAATGTTGACTCTTTTGTGATCCATTTAGATTTTAGCTGGACTGTATAATCCTGGAGATGGTCACATTGATCCTTATTCTTTAACTATGGCCCTGGCTGCTGGGGCTAGGAAATATGGTGCCCTTTTAAAATATCCTGCACCAGTGACTTCTTTGAAACCCAGGTCAGATGGAACATGGGAAGTTGAAACACCACAGGGATCTGTGAGAGCAAATAGAATTGTGAACGCTGCAGGTAAGCATCATGTATTTTTTCGTTTTAAAATTAGTGCTTTTTTTTTAAGTGGCGAAGATAGCTATAAAGTAATGTTCCATACTATGCACACTGTTATGAAACATTGTAATCTCTGAAATTAAACATTTTATCTGTTGCTAAGTTACAAAGCCTTCCTTCACCACTTCCTCTGGCACTTGGTGAGTGAGATATCACTCTGTCCTTGGTCACCCAGACATAGAAAGTTGGTTGTTGTTAGGTGCCATTGAGTCAGCTCTGACTCATAGCGACCCTCTGTACAACAGAATGAAACACTGCCTGGTCCTGTGCCAGCCTCACGATCCTTACTATGCTCGAGCCCGTTGTTGCAGCCACTGTGTCAGTCCATCTCATTGAGGACCTTCCTCTTCTTCATTGACCCTCCACTTTACCAAGCATGACATCCTTCTCCAGGGAATGGTCCCTTCTGACAACATGACCAAAGTAGGTCAGATGAAGTCTGGCCATTCTTGCTTCCAAGGAGCATACTGACTGTGCTTCTTCCAGGACAGATTTGTTCGTTCTTCTGGCAGTCACCACAATTCAAAGGCATCAATTCTTCGGTCTTCCTTATTCATTGTCCAGTGAGAAAGTTGGTACTCTCCTTTATCCCTCTTTATTATCACTATTAATATTTTTTAAATCCCTTCACCTATATCGAACCTGCTCTTAATTATACTTTTGTTTACCCTCCCTTTCCTTCCCCTTCCGTCCCTGGTAACCTTCATTCCTCTTTTTCTTCTATTCCAAATTGTGCTTTGCCAAATTATGCTTTTCCCCTTTTCCTATCTATTTTTTCTTTATACTAATAACCAAGCTTTAGTGTTCAAAATCATGACTTGATTTCAGTTTAATTTTTAGGGCAGACTTGATCATTTCTATTCTCTCACTTTCATTCATTTCTGATTACGTTTGCCTGCAGTCGAAAAACTTAACCCTTTTCCTTTCAGAACATTTTCAAACATATTTAATAATCTTACCTTTAGGTTCCTTTGTTACAATTTAGAATCATAGAGGACTGACACCAAAGGGACTTTTGAGATCATCTGACAACCCACTCATTTTCCATTGGCAGAGGCTGGGTCCACGAGGGTCATGTTACTTGGCCAGAGCCAAAATGTGAACTTGAGTCTTTTGAGTTTTGAGCGAATACCATTTCTAACAGGTCAGCTGCATGTGAAGTCATTTTCACCTATCCCAAACCAAACCAAACTCACTGCCATTGAGTCGGATCAGACTCATAACGACGACCCCTCCTTGGGTTTCCGAGGCGGTATCACTGTGGAAATAGATTGCCCAATCTTCTTTCTGAGGAGTGGCTGGTGAGTTTGAACCGCCAGCCTTCTCGTTAGCAGTCAGATGCCTTAGGCACTATGCCAACAGAGCTCTTTTTCAACTATCATACATATAAAAATAAATTCTACTGAAAATGCTTGCATAATCTAAACTAGACTAATCCTTTATATTTTCCCATAGTTTATAATGACCTAACCCCACTGCGATTGAGTCTATTCTGACTCATAGCAACCCTCTAGGACAGAGTAGAACTGCCCCACAGGGTTTCCAATGCTGTAAAGCTTCATGGAAGCAGACTGCCTCATATTTCTCTCTTGGAAGGGTTGGTATGTTCGAACTGCTGACCTTCTTGTTAGCAGCCCAATTCTTTAACCACAGCACCACCAGAGCTCCTTATAGTTCACAATAATTCCTTTAAAAGTTAAAGTAAACAGGAGGCTGTAATTGATTTTCTTGTGGTTGTTCTTTGATTCATTATTTAAATGGTAAAATGAAAACAAGCTTTATTATTTATCAGATCAAATTATATGCTGTGAGGAAATGCCAGAAACATGTATCCCTTATGAGTCTTTCTGCTAAATAACAACTTTTGATTGATGTTATTTGTTGGTCAGAAGAAATCATGTTTCAATATTTAAGGGTCTAAATTAGTATTTTGGAATATTTCTAACCCAAGTTCTCCCTTTGAAAAGTATAAAAATCTCATGTCTTCTTCAATGGAATTTAAAATTCAGAATAATGTAAATGAGTTATCTGAAAAATAAAAGCAGTGTTGTAAAATATTGCTTTGTTTATGAACCTCATTTGCACTCCAGTTTCCTTCTGATATCCCCCTCACACACTGTCCTTGACAACCATTGGTCTAAATTCTATTCAAAGATCAAAGGTAATGAAATTATTCATACTTTTTCCCAAGTAGCAAGAATTCCATGTAATCTTGCAATGTTTTTTATGGTCTCATGAAATCAGCCCCTATAAAAACATTTGTTTTCATAGAGACAGCAAATACTAAACAAAAACTCTGAATCTCATACCCAACACCTGTGACAGCCATTACTAATTGATGACAACAGCACTCATTTTAAATGGGGTTGGACAAAGCCCCACTATTTTTCTCAACACCATACTTCAGGCAGCCAGTTATTCCCAAATGATATTTTGAAATATGTTGTTGTTGTTGCTATCATGTGCCATTGAGTCAGCCCTGACTCATAGCGACCCCTCCTCCTTGGGTTGCCGAGGCAGTATCACTACGGAAGTAAATTGCCCAACCTTCCTTCTGAGGAGTGGTTGTTGGATTTGAACCACCAACCTTCTGGTTAGCAGTCAAGTGCCTTAGGCACTATGCTACCAGAGCTCCTATTTTGAGATATAGAAGATCTTAATTTAACACATCTACTCATTGTTTTCGATCAGTTCTTTTTGGTACAGTGACTCTGTGTATTCCTGCCATCTTCTCTTGATGTTGCCTGCATCATTCAATATTTTGCCCATAGAATCTCTCAATATTGCAACTCGAGGCTTAAATTTTTTCTTCAGTTCTTTCAGTTTGAGAA